GACCCTGCTGGTTCGGATATATATGTGACAAAAATATAGATCAGGGATGGCAAGTCGCCGGGAAAAAGCTACAATCCATAGCATGTTAAGATCTTTAGTTATTCCACATCATATTCATCCTCAAGAAACCCCTTCATCAATTTAAAATGCTTCAAAATATTACAATATCTATATCCTTCGTCCCCAATAGCCTTGTCGGAGCTTAGGACTAGTAGCCTTCCACCATAGCAATAATAGATTAGAATGCCAAGTTTGAATACATGCACTAAGAAAAAGAAAAGAGATCTGCATATCAGAGTGACTTTCAGATTGCCATATGAAATTGAGAATGTAGCGACCACAGGAGACATGGTTCCTAAGTATTTTTGGCTGGCAATAAACCACCTAGGTACATATGTAGTCGTTCACCCCTACTGGTAGATTGAAAATAAAAATTAGATGAGCCCGTGTTTTGGATATCCCTACGTGTCAGTTAGAGTCTACCTGGTTTTGCTTTACAACGGAGTAAAGGCTACGGTATAGATGGCTTGTTTGTTTACTCTCCAAGAGCCAGTTTTTTGAAGGATCCACTGGCTTCCACACAGACCTTGAGAAAAACCAATTAAAAATCACCTATGAAACTAATGAAATACTCTACCCAAAGTGGAGAATTGAACCTATAATATTATGCTGACACCTCGTAAATACTATGATCAAAGATGGATGTTCCTGATTCGATCGCCAAGCCTTCTGCATCCCTGGTTCATCGAGGCTGAGGCCAACACCGCAACTTAGCCACAATCTTCTTTTTTTTGGACTCCCTTGTTTTTTCTAGTCTTTCATTAACTTCGTTAACTTCTTTTGTTTCTTTGTTTCTTTGTATCCCTTCTGAGATTCAGTCTCTTTCATCCGTCCAATTCCTAGAGTCTTTCTTTCACCAGTGACGCGTCATTCCCTGGAGGTGTGGCTTTGCGTCAACCATCTACAAGTCTAGAATTCTAGCAGTACACTCCTTAAACATTTGTGATTTATATTGATACAGGCCTACACAGACCGTTTGGGGTTCTGATTATCTTCGACGAAGATACACTACCCACATTTTACTGAAGGACTTGGCACCCCGGCATATAAACGCCAAGAAGCCCAATCGCGATGCTATGGAGCCGACTCGCACAGCCTGCGAGGTTCTATGCCCGACATGGCCTGCCAAGGCCTCTCAGGATTAACAGCCGCGTTGTGATTCACACACCCAAGCGGTTCAACTCAAACCCCCAGAACACTGGTCAAATGACCCCAGACCCCACCGATCAGAATGATTCGGATGAGGGCAAGGGCAAGGGTCAGAGTCGTAACGGCGATTCAGACCCCAACTTCAAATCTACGATTCTCAAGATGCTTGAAACTGCGGCAACCACGGCGGCATCAATTGCTATTCTAGGGTAAGGCTTACTTATATGATTCAAGGCATGTGTTACTGTGGCTAATTTGTTTCTAAGTGCGGCGGGATACTGGTATCACCAGTATTACAAGTACTTGATCCTGGACAAGATGGACAATGCGTTTAACCCAGGTGATCCGGCCCTCGAGGTCGCTGGTGTTGTTTCTGGAAAGCACAAGTACCGCCATGAGGAACATTGGGTCGTTCGCAACGAGCAACCCAAAATTGACGATATTGTATCTGGAAAACAAAGTGGCCACTACTATCTAATGATTGGTGAAAAGGGCACTGGCAAGACCTCGATGCTTTTGGAGGCCATGCGCAAGATTAATGGCAACAGCTGTGCGTTGTTCGAAGCGCATGCTGATCTCGAAATCTTCCGAATCCGACTTGGAAAAGCTTTGGACTACGAGTTCCACGAGGAGTAAGCTTATACTGTCATCACCACAAAAGCATAACGCTAATAATACCCAGCTATATCGGCAGCCTTTTCAGCATCCGTGGACCAAGAGACACCACGGCTCTCTTGGACATTGAGCGCGCCTTCAACAAGCTAGAGAAAGTGGCTCTCACCAGAAGGCGGGATGGGTCAACTCCTCTTATCCTGATCATCAACAGTACCCATTTAGTTCGAGACGACCACGACGGACAGGATTTGCTTGAGATGATCCAGCAGCGTGCCGAGCAATGGGCTGCCAGTGGTCTCGTCACAACAAGTAAGACTCTGGCGGACATTCTTTCTTCTTGTCATGGGCTAACTTTGTTGCTTTAAAGTTCTTAACAGCGATGACTATTGGGTATACGAGCGCTTGAAGCGTTATGCAACCCGCATGGAGGTCATTCCCGTGTCAGATCTGCCCAAGGACAAGGCGATGAGTGCTTTGAAGAAATATCGCGAGCAATTCCACAACGAGACACTTCCATCTGCGGTCCTCGAGCAAGTCTATGACAAAGTCGGCGGTCGACTATCCTTCTTGAACCGCGTGGCCAAGTCTCAGGATATCACAAGGACCTGCGATGAGATCTGTCAAGCCGAGAAAACATGGTTCCTAAACAAGTGCTGGATCCTCGGAATGGAGATGGATGATGATGTGATGGACCAGCAGAAGTACGCCGTAAGTACACAGTATAGGATCTCCTGGTTCTTGTTCCTTCGATGCAACTCAAGCTAATCTAAACCAACACAGTCTGCCGCTATGGTTCTGGCGAAAGCGCTGGTAGACAAAGAGAAGGAGATGGAGTCCAACTACCACGAAGAGCAAGGCCATATCCTGCCACAAATTCCGCTCCACGAAGCGCGCGAGATCATGACCCGCGCTGACTTTATCCAATCTTATGATCACGAAAATATCTTCACCATCGATTCGCGAGCCATGGTGCGTGCTGATTCAGTACCCATGCAGCGTGCCTTCCAAGAAATCTGCGCCGTAGAGAACTTCGACAAGCATTTGGACGGCACCTTGCAGCGCATTGGAGACATTGAGAGTCTTGGCCGTACTCGCGAATTGACTATTAAAGATCTCTGGGATAGTGGCAAGTATCGCGTCGTTGTACGCGACAACCGCGGACGAGAGAGTGGGACAGTTGAATTTGCTGTGGCAGAACGCGAAGGTGAAGATCAAGATTAGTTGCTTTGTATATGTCATATCTAATTCACCCGTGGACGGATGAGAAGTCCCACTGTAATTACAAATTTCTACTATGTGGCAGACATCAAGTCGCCGAGTCCTTGAATTTGGACCTTGGAAAAAGCAATAGTGACATCATCGTATGCTCACCGCTAACCAAACATTCCACCCGCCTTCTCTTTTTCTCTTCCAAGCTTCAACTGAGTGAAAGCAATTGCCAGTGACTTTTTGCTATAAACTCTGCTTTGCAGTCACCTTATTCTTCAAATTTGGAAGCTTCAAAATGCCAACTAAGACCCCCAAGAAGCGAACTGTGTCGTGGAGCGAGAACACGCGACCCGCGCAGACCTCTCGATTGGCATGCATCCCATCTCTAGCCCGCTTCATCCTTGTTGTCCTAAGCAGTCTCATTGTGAGCTCCGTTCTGTTCACATTCACATCGACCTTGACTGTGGGTGATCTCGGGCCCATCAGCAAACACCTTGAAGAATGGTGGGAAGTGGGGGGCTTGATAGCCTGGAAGGCTGTGGAGGTCGGATTAGCCTGGGTTCTAGGATTTGATGGTAAGTATCAATTACGATACATATGGCCCCTTGCGTCCGGACACGAGGTTCCTACAGCTATATAGACGATGTATAGAGACTAACCTTGTGGTTGTGATTAGGCCGCGATGTGGCATCGTTCTTATTCCTGACCCACCTGCCAACATACTCTCTCTTGTCATTCTTCTACGGCATCCGCCCGACTTCTGCGCTGATAGCATTTGCGGTCACGATTGTCTCTACGGCGCTTCCCTTCGCCCTCCTGCGCCGGCCCTCGTCCGTCCACAATCTCTCGCGTGCGCCTGCTGATGCAGTTGCCAATCGCAACATCCTACAGGACAAGATCACCACTGTCTTCACGACGCTCCTGGCAACCTCGATTTTTAGCGTTGTGCTGTACGCCAGCTATGCGACTTGGCTTCCTACGCAGCTGGTCATTCACTTCGAGGGTCTCCCGGATATTAGCGCGGCGCATGCTGGTCCCGCCGGCTTGCCTGTCCTCTTCCTGACGCTGATTCCTGCTGGCTGGGCCGCGCGTGACTTTTTATTTGTCAGCTCCACTGGCTATTCAACCACTCCTAGTGAGTCTGCAAGCTGCTGCGAGGGTGAAAGTTTGGCTGCCTCCATTTGTCGCAACACTTGGGGCAAATTGACCACCAAGACAAGAGTTTTGGTTTCTCGGTCCATTATTCTTGCGCTTGGAGTCTTACTCAACACGATTGTTCAAGTGGCCGGCACAATCAGCGATGTCTCTATCGAAGGTGCCGCCACTTGGGGAGCAGTCTGGGCATTTGCGACGCTGACCGCAGGAGCAAGCTTCGGCTGGATCGAAGCCGTTGATGGTGTATAATATTATACGGGATACCGACAGCATGAGGGGAATGCGTGCTCCCATGTTGGTTTTCGTTTCAGCTACGCCGGGTGCGTGAGAGATAGATGCAGTGATACCCTCATATCCAGTATCCTATTTCTTATGACAAGCTTGATTGTAATGTCGCCGCTTGCTTTCGTGCGGTAAGATATATACCTTCTGCTAATCGGCCGTGGGGTTATTGGTTTCAATCACTTTCTTCGTTATCTAAAATTTCCGTGTTTTACCCTTTTTTTCCAATTGTCAAGTATTGCTTTTTCTTACTTGAAATGTTCATTGATTACTCTTTTGTCTTTGTTTTAACATGATATCTGCAGAACGCTTTGGAATTGAAATTAATCATAAGTCTATGTCACGATAGTCGCTGTATAACATCCAACACCCCAATTAAGTATCTAGTATTTGCTGAGGAAAATCATAAGTAAAACGCGACAGGTATATAGAGGCAAGACCAATCCCAGAACATGAAACAAGTAAACCTACTAACAGCACAATGATCAAAGCAATCACCAGTGAGTAGGCGGGCCCTGATACCTGTCCACTCAATCAACCGAAGTCTGCTCCATTTTATACGAATCAGACTTCCCATTGGGCAACATCCATCCAGGATGCAGCACATTAAACACACCCACCGAAACAACCATCATAGCTCCATCAAGCGCAATAAAGTACGACTCGTGAGTAATGAGATAACCATGCCATCCCTGTGACAACTCGATCGTGCGATAGATACTCCGAATATAGATGCAGACGATGGAAAGTATCATCGCGGCGAACAGGGGGATGACCGAGCCGGTTACGGACTGCAGCAAACGGTTGCGCATAGTGCGGCGGATGAAGTCAACCGCGCAGACGACGAAGATGGTAATCGAGAAGAGCTGGAAGACGATACCAGCGACCATGATGTGCGTTCCAGTTGCGGTGTCGCCACCGATCTTGTCGGCTTCTCCGGAGGCCATGCCGCCGCCGATGGCTTGGACAACGAGCGAGATTACGTCGCAGGTGCAAAAGATCCAGAGGTATAGGCTTGGCTTTATGAAGGAGGATTCGCGGCCGAGGACTTGGATGAAGCGGCCTAATAGGATATAGATTCCTGCTGTGAAGAAGGTTGGGGCTGTGGGATGTTAGATTGGGTATGGATAGACAAATGTAGGAAGGTCGCTTACCGATGATGAGGGTGGAGATTTGCATTAGGAAGGCAGTCCCGTTGTATGGACATTTGGCTGACCAGGTACGACCGGCCCAGCCGATTACTTCGACTGTTGGTGTTGTTAGTCTTGCGAGAAGTTAGGGTTTCAAGTGTCACAAGCCTTACCCAAACATCCGATACTAAACACGCTTGCCCACCATTGTCGCTTCCAGGTGAATTGGACTGTATGGAGGATCATCGAGAGACCGAAGAGTGTACAGTAGGCAATGCCTGCTCCTAGCGATGGGATATATCCATATGAGGTGCCAACGCCTTCGATATATGCAGGGCAGCCGGTGAGCAGTTTGATCCTGTCGTCCATGGCGAAGGAAAATGAATGACCCCAAGAGACCACTATCAGGGAAATTGGCGATAAAAGTAAAGCTAGCAGTAAACCCGTAGTATTTTGATAGATTGGAAGATGGTCAGAAGTTCCCCAGACGACTAGAAAAGAGATTTATAGACAACCCCGTTTGTCCAAAATCAAAAAGATACCAAAAAGAGGACCGAGAATCAGGCTTCAATATTGACCCGGACAACTTGAGTATAAATAAGAGTAAGCATGGCTGAGCACCCACTAGCCCCCACCATCGGGAAAGACCTTTCAAGGCCAAAGCCACGGTCTCTCAATGCACGTCTGCCACAATAATCTACCGGGGAGTATAAGACCCGCATCGGAGCAACCAATCCCGACATTCAAGCTTGTCCAATGTTCAGTGTCCAGCGTTCAGCGTCCAGAGCGGGTTGATAAACGGACCGACTCCGGTTGGTATAGAAAGGCATATCCAAATGGTAAGAACCTGCGGCACAATCGGGCAACCAACCGCCACGGTGGGGGTATCCCTAGCCTGTTAGATTACATGAGCATTGTACTTTATACCCTAAGGACCACTAGATGGACCATGACATCAAAGCCAAGTCAAAAATACAAAAATTCAACGAGATCTGATAGAGAATCGGCCGAACTACAACTTACCTCGCAAGACCATCCCTTTTGGGTTAGCGTGGACATCGCCAAGTTTACCTCAGCCCTCAAGGATTTCATTTATCTCCGGTAAAAACCGTTAGCAGACCAAACGGGAGCTTTATAAAAGGTCAAATGAGTCACGGCAATCGGCAATCAGGCACTAGGCGGTTTGAGGGAATCCGGCTTCCAACATGAAAGCATGGTCTCCTTACTCCTTACTGCGACAGACATAGCTTCAATATGTCTGCGGCCCAGCTAAAAAGAACGTAGTAAGATCGTACTCAAGAGTCAGTTAGCACACCGCTTCAAGATAATAAGAGACAATCTCATTCAAAAAGATCACTGGAGTCTAGCCCTGGCCCTGGTTTGTCGGGATATCGGACAATCCAGGTCCAAGGTCTCGGATGGCAGCGGATGTACGAATGTGACGGAGAAAAAAAATTTACGAAGCAAAAATCAAGAGGATCCACATGCTCCTGCTGCTTATTCGTAGTTGGTTTGAATCTCAAGTTATCTTCTCATATTAGCTTAAAATGCAATTCTTGAAGCAATAGACTGCTGGCAACGTCCGTGGCTAAAAGTTCAACAACAATAGGATGATCAAAGGAACTAACTCATACTCCGTATACTCCGAGCCGAAGCTGCGAAAGGCAATGGGATCGCCGATCTCTACTATAGCGGATCGCAAAAACAGTGGAGTTCCAACAGCCGAATCCCTTATCAAAGGTTAGTTATACATAGAAAAGTCTCTTACACAAAGTATGCTTTTTCCCCCTTTTTCTGCCGTCTAGCTAACAAACTGAGAAGGGTGAGACAATATCTATGAAAACAGACATCTGAAAAGACTAACTGAGAAGGCCAACTGAGAAGAATCCGAAAAGACCACCAAAAACGACCACCAAAAAAGACATCTCAAAAGACATCTAAAAGACTACCATAAAAGGCTACCAAAAAAGACTTGACACGGCTTAATCTCCTTTTGGTCGTGATAGCTGAAAGATACCTTTGTTCTGTTGAATAGTTGACTGGACCTTTCAGAATCCGTCTCGATGGAATTGCTATTTGGCCGTATCGAGTGTGAATGGACTGCTTTTTGTGATTGATGTTAAACAAGAATAGTCGGCCGCTTATGCGGCCTCGCCTTGGCGGGCCGGATATCAACACTGCGGAGGTATTCCGGCGGGACAAATGCGCCGTGCTGAGTGAGACCACCCATCGCATATAGCACTACAACTCACACACATCACCCATCTGATTAAACGCCCTGCCCAAAAACAGTTGGTGGTGGAGCCGGGGACCATGCGATCGCAGACAGTATCTTAGAAGGTGGGGGCGATGTCCTCTCTATGGATAAGGGGGAGCAACGGCCCTCGTGGGGTTGATATCAATGAACACCTCGTCTTGGTCAAGTCCAAGAGATTACGCTGCTACCTGCATCGATATATACATCCCCCCATCCACGCGCAGTAAAGTTCACATCCATCCGCTTCCCAGATACTATCCAAATCTTTGCCGCCCACCATCATTGGAACCTTCCAAGACGCTGTGTTTGCTTACGTTATTCTCGGATTGAGGCATCTGGGCAGCAGCTACGTGGTGTGGTGATCTGCGCTGGAGTCGGGGGTGGCAGTGCGGCGATAGACTGCGACGAGGCTAAGTTCCGGCGCACAGGGGGATGGAATCTCGCCGACTATGAATCTTCCAAAACTGCGGCCTTTTTTGTTGGCTGATGGGAGTGGGTTTATGACTGGAGCGGATCCTAATTTTGATGGGGGCAAGACGGCTTGGTGATCTAGGCAGGGCTGTCTGTCTTACATTCCAAGCTCTTGTCAAAACACGAGTTATAGGTAACATGTTCGATCTGGATGGACAGAAGAGAAGGTAAAAAGAAGAAACGGCGGCCTTTTATTTCTTGGTAACATTTAATAACTGATCGATCTAAAATGACTAGGATTGCTCTAAGTAGAACTACTCAAGATCCCAGAATACCTCAGTCGGTTTGTGGAAGCTGTGAAATTGTGGCGTGTCATAAATGCCCTTAGGATCTAGAAGCGAAAGTCAGTATTGCATGGCAAATTCCAAATTGGATAGGGTCCTCACCATCGCGATTTTCCACAATATATTTCCTCGTGTTGATGATATTCCCCTCAAGCTGAGCATTCAACTCCTGCTGATAAACTCGGACCTTCTCATTTACCATGGCACCACCACGAATAGCCTGCTGAGCGACATGGAAACGCGATACACGGTTGACAAGCATCATATCGAAAGGCGTGGTGGTGCTGCCCTCTTCAATATAGCCCCCGACAGTGACACGATCAAGACGCGGACGTCCAAAGAGCAAGCCCTGCAGCTCAGTTGGGTAGCCGTGGTAATTGAAGTGAATAGGCCTATCGGGAGTGAAGAGTGTATCGAATGCCTCAGTGGACAAGGCATGCGGATGCACACCCTCGTTCTCAAGAATCATCAAGTCCGTCACGTTAACAACGCAAACACGAAGCTCTGGTATGAGCTTCCGCAGAAGCGCCGCTGCTGCAATTACTTCGAACATCACCTCAACACCAATACCGGCCAGCACGACATCTGGATTAACTCCATCGTCCGTGCTGCAGAACTTCCAGATTGATGCTCCTGCGCGACAGTGGCTCTCGGCCTCTTTGGGAGTTAGGTACACTGGAGTTGGCTGTTTTGCGCCCACCATCAGGTTGATGTAGTTCTTTGACTTCAAACAGTGGTGAATGGTTGTCAGGAAAGTATTCGCATCAGGAGGCAAGTATACGCGAGCTGCAGTGGGCTTCAGTTTTAGCACAGAGCCGATGAAGGATGGGTTCTGGTGAGAGAAGCCGTTGTGCTCCTGGCGTGTCCAGGTGCTCGATTCGATGTAGTTCATACTACTGACGCCGGAGTGCCAATTTGTTTCCATTGCCTACATAGAGTATTTGGTGAGCATGTAATTGATATTAGCAAGGGGGAAAGGAAGCTGACCATCTTGATGAACTTGGAATACTGCACCATCATCGTATGAATGATGCCGAGGAAGCTCTCATAGGATGGGAAAATACCAGTGCGGCCGGTCAAGGTATAACCCTGCATGAATCCTTGACACATATGTTCGCTAAGGACTTCAATTACACGACCGCCGCGGGCGTTGGCGAACTCGTCCCATTGGAAATTGCGGTTTGTGCCTTCAAACACTGCATCGAGTTTGTTGCTTTCCAGCTCGTCCGGTGAGAACAGCCGCACGCTAGTCGGGTTGTCCTTGAATGTTTGATTGATGAAGGTGCCAATCACTTTCATGGCGCTTGCGTCGGAGCCTTTCTCCGCACAGAAGGACTTCCAATCCGGCAACTTCGGTGGTGTATAACTGTTGTAGACTTCAATGCGCTGACCAAGCTTCTTTTTGTCATCTGTGGGAATCACAGACTTGATCTCTTCAATTACATCACCGTTCGAAGTGAACAGCTCTTCTGGCTTATAACTAGAGAGCCAGTTCTGCAGCAGACCCAGTTCTTCCTTGTCGGTCTTTGCTTTTGGCAATGGCACCTGATGAGAATGGTACGAGCCCTCAATAAACTTGCCATGGAGCTGTTTGGGCCCCGACCAACCCTTGGAAGTGCGCAGAATCAACATCGGCCACCTCGGCTTCATAATCGGCTTCCCAGAGCGGGCAGCCTTCTGGATCTTCTGGATCTCCTTGACGGCCCAGACCATAGAGAAGTGCAAATCCGCGTCAATATCGCTGATATCCTCCACAAAGCGAACCTGATACCCGTACCCACTGAAGAGAGCCAGAAGCTCTTTGTGGTCCATGCACCCAAAGATAGTGCGCTCGCTGATCTTGAATCCATTCAAATGCAAAATTGGCAAAACTGCACCGGACTCCTTTGGATCAATATACTTGATTGCATGCCAGGACCTGTCCGCTATTAGCGTTGTATAGTGCAAAGGGGAAAATAATCGACGAACGTAGCAGTAGGACCGCTTTCAGCCTCTCCGTCACCCACGATACAAGGCACTATCAGATCAGGGTTGTCCATGACAGCGCCAAAGGACACTGCTAGAGCGTATCCCAGTTCTCCACCTTCATGGATAGCACCGGGGGTCTCGGCGTTGATGTGGCTACGCATAACTGTTAGTCAAGGAACCAAATATCAGGGCGAGGCACTGACCTGGGAAGGCCAGATGTTGTACTAAAAGTCGAGACCAAATTGTGCAGGCCTTTGCTATCTCGCGAATATTGGGGATAAAATCTCTCCAGCGAGCCCTCTAGCCATAGCGCGGCTAGGATTGCCGGTGCGCCATGCCCTGGGCCGACAACATACATCATGTCCAGGTTCATTGTCCGGATCAGGTAGTTCAAATGAGAGTAAACCAAAATTAAGCCCGGGCATGTTCCCCAGTGACCTGAAGTATGGCATCAGTGATGACCGAGTTGAATACTACGGCAACGCTACTCACCAAGTAGTCGAGGCTTAATGTGGTTAAATGTGAGTTCCGACTTCAAAAGAGTATTTTCTTGCAGAAATATCATAGCTATCATTAAGTTAGTCGCGCAATTGGAATATATATAGAACACAATCGCGCGCTTACCTGCCGCAATGTAACAAGCCGCGCGGCGGAACTTGAGCAAGGCATCACAGGCCTTTTCATCTAGTTTCTCATGATCCAACTTGACGCTCAATTGCTCAAGATAGTCTGGCAGATGCGACGGCAGTGGTTGTGGATTTGGTTCGCTTATGACTTCTCCAGGCATGGTGAATTTGATATTGTAGGTTCTTTGGTGACTTGGCGGGAGCAAAAGAACATTAAAGACGAGTTCAAGGCAGGACAAAAAAGATGGAACGAGGAGTGGAAGATGAAAGTGGAATTGAAAGTGAAAGAGATACTTTCTAGGTAGGTAAATAAATGGGTGGCATGTAAAACATGCCCGCCTTGTTCTCCGTGTTGGCGACGTCATTCCACATCCTGACATCACTACGACTAGTCTTGAAACAGGCAAGTTCAGCTTTAAAAAGGTATTCCGATCTTCAAAGGCATTTACCCAACTTGCTGCAACCGCCTCACAATGCCCAAATCAATCCTCGCTGTTAACGCGGGTTCGTCCTCCGTCAAAATCACCTTCTATACCTTCGAGAACCCGCCAAGAGCCATCGCAGATGCGGCGATCTCTGGAATTACCGCACCCCCACCTACACTCAAGTACCAACAAGGAGACAAAAAGCACAAAGAGGAAGTCAAAGAAAAACTCAGCACCCCCCAAGATGCGTTCAAATACCTCTTGCAGCGCTGTTTCAACGATCCCGAACTTTCCGAAGTCGCCAGCGTCGACGATCTAGAGTACATCTGCCACCGAGTCGTCCACGGAGGAGACTACCGCGACGCAGTCGAAATCAACGACGAGACACTTGACCGCTTGAAAGGATTGGAAGATCTTGCACCTCTGTAAGCTCATCTATCCCGAATCTTTACATTTCCGGGATTATATACCTCTGTCGACTATATACCTGCTTAGTCCTCAATATCCTGCTAACGCCGCCCCACCAAAAGCCACAATTTCTCCGCGCTGGAGATAGTCCGCCTGTGCAAAGCAGAGCTCCCCAAAGTTAGAAGCATCACCTTCTTCGACTCTGCTTTCCACCAGACAATTCCCGAAGCCGTACGCACATACCCAATCAACCAGGAAATCGCCAAGGCGAATGGTCTGCGCAAGTATGGATTCCATGGGATCAGTTACTCGTTCATCCTGCGGTCTGTAGCACAATTTTTGAACAAACCAGTCGAGAAAACGAATCTCATCGTTATGCATATCGGGAGCGGGGCCTCGATATGTGCGATCAAGAACGGGAAGTCGGTGGATACATCGTGAGTCACGCGATGTAGTTTATACTACATCTCAATTTATCTCGAGTTAAGAGTCGTGCTAATGCGGTGACTAGAATGGGCCTCACTCCTTTGGCAGGATTACCCGGTGCAACACGTAGTGGAAGTATTGATCCATCGTGAGTTGAAATCCACTGGACTTCCCTGACAATGCAATTATGGCGAACTGATACTTGGTGATCTAGATTGGTCTTCCACTATACCAATGAAGCAGGAAAACTAAGCCCAGCCAGCACGTCAGAAATGCATATTAGCACGGTATGAATGCCCAACGCAGAGAACCAATGCCAAAAAAAATAACAAGAAAATACTAACTAAATCCAACACGCTCCAGGCGGAGGATATCCTCAATAAACAATCAGGTTGGAAAGCCCTCACAGGAACAACCGACTTCTCCCAGATCGCGGTGGAGAACCCACCAAGCGAAGCACATAAACTTGCTTTCGACATCTTCGTCGACCGCATCCAGGGCTACATCGGCAGCTACTACGTTAAACTAAACGGTGAATTAGACGGTGTAGTCTTTGCCGGCGGGATCGGTGAGAAGAGTGCCTTGCTGAGACGAACGCTGGTCGATAAATGCCAGTGTCTAGGTTTGGAAATCGATGATGCGGCTAATGACAAGGGGCCTGGGGATGAGGAGACGGTCAAGGTTATCTCCAAGGGCTCCGGCAAGGGGCCCCGGGTTTTAGTCTGCCAGACCAATGAACAGGTATGTGGTCTCAAATATTGAAGATTATTGACCGTGACCATACTTGACCTCTCGTGGAGGTGTAGGTTCTGGTTATAGGTTGTTATTTTTGTATACACCGATTTACTGACTTCGGATTTCATTTGCAGTTTGAAATGGCATATCACTGTGCATGTTCGCGGTGCTGATTTCTCATGCACGGTGTCGACTTTTGTTTATTTCTTCTTCTTTTGCTATTGGTAGTGACAATAATACCTACCTTGGTGGTTAATAGAGGAGGTTGGGGAGCTGAACATGGTTGAATTACGACATATAATATTGATGAATGTCTTCTAAGGTTCTCTACATTGTACGCCCCGTACATAATCGAAATATTCCAAATAATCGAAATCCAAATCTTAAAAGCAAAAGCATGTGACATAGTTCGCCCCGTCCATTTGACACTTGCCACTGGGGAAGGGGATCCTATGTGGCTGGGTTGACAGGTAGTCTCCGATGGGGTCAGCTTTCAGCCCTGGATTGGCGAACCCGGTGATTGGGAACCGGGAAGACTGATTCCAGGTACTTGGTCATATTTTGCGCCTCATTTCCGATGCAATGCATCTATGCAATGCATCACCATTTATCATTCCTGGTACGTGAGTTCTGCAACAGCATACAGTAGGTAGGGGGAAAACAGAGGCCTGAGGACACAGTCCCTGCATACCAACGCCAGCTTGGGTTACTTTGTTGTGGATCGTGTACCCCATACTCCGTACAATCGAAAAGAAAAAGAAAAAATAAAAAATAAAGATGAAATGTAACATGCGTCAGGAGTGAATGTGACACATCCAGGTTGTCGGATTTGATAGATTCGGGGGGAAACTCTTCCCCGGTTCCCAAAGTTGTTGATTGTATGCAAGACACAGAAAAAAGGGTGATTGACGCGATCGAAGGCGATCGCCTCGGGGAGAATCGAAGTCTCAATTGTGGTCCTGGTGGCTCTGATGATCTGCAGGCTAGCGGGTTTGGGCGACAAGTGCATTGCAATTAGCGAAGTCAATGTACTAGCGAATTAGGAGGCGTCTCAAGTCGACTATCAATCTTTGCATTGTTATCTGGAGGATCAGACATCAGATCATCAGTGATGGCGTTCAAGGGCCAAGGTCGCATCGCAGCGATCGGCAGCGATCGACACTGCAGAATGAGAATGTACTTTTGTTGCTCTTTTGGCTCAGTAGTGTGTCATACAGCTGCATAGTGTATTCAAGTACATGCCCGCATATCCGCATGTACAAAGTGCAGAGTGTGACGTACTAGGTATGTACGATGTACTTCGATCGCCTGGGACGTGATTCCCCGTGCAGGAGTATCTCGGGGAACATTATCCGTTCACATATCAAGTGGCCGCGGATCCCCCGACGAAAAGCCGACCCATCTCGACGTGGGTCATACACGATTTTGTATTTGTATGGCTTGATCAGTCATAATCTCCCCCTTCATGCATCATGTCGTGACAACTAAAATAGGTACCAAAGTACCCGAAGTCAGGGGTTGACCCAGCAGGAAAAAGAAAGGGGACGATCGAACCCGGCACACTGGTGCTGGAGCCGTGGAGCTGTCGGCGATCGTCAATTTTGTTTCTTTTCTGCGAGTTAATCAGGTAACCGGGTCACGATGTGGATTTTGGGCCTGTCACTCAGGATCCAGTGAGGCCCAGAGAGGTCTAAAAGCGCAATCCACTTTTTTTTTCGCTTCTTTGTTCGGCTGTGAGCTGCCGTCATGTCTCATGTTTCGGGAGTCAAATAGGAAGTCCGGAACTTGTAGGCCAAATTATTTCCAAATAAAAAGGAGAAGCTAAGAAGTGAGGCGGCTGAAAAAGCGTTTGTCTCGGGACGGGGAAAGCGGTTCCAGTTCCAACTAAATTGACTCTAAATTGTTTTCTATTTGTTCTTTTTCTTCTATTTGGCCCCATTTGATCCCAAATGACCTTAGCTGGCGGAGTACAGACGGAATACCGACTGTGGACACTACCTAAGTTTAGCCCGTTACAACCATCGACTATGGAGTACATAGTGCTTCCAGAATTTTCCATATATGGAGCCTTCTTTTGAGGGAATCGGAAAAGTGAACTAAGATCGCCCGGCTTTACATCCGCGGACTCTTAGTGCGCCATTCCCCTGTTCCTAGTGATATTTAGATTGTAACAAATGAATCAGTCCAAATCCGCCACAGGGCACCCAACACAGAAAAAAACAAAACAAAGTCGCCGATAGATATCCCAATTTTAGGAGCGTTGACACATCCACATCGCTTGTCAGATGAACAAAGACTTCGGCTGGGGCTCGATGCATCCGGACCGGGAACCCCCTGCTTCCTTTCGATGCGCTGCAAGGCAAATCCCAAAGTCAATGCGGGTGGTGATCCGCGACCGTTTTTTTCGATATCATGACGCCACAATCAAGGTACGGGTAGTCGCGATTTCCAGGTTTAAACAAAGGAATACATGAGATAAACAAAATTAAAGCAAAATATGGTGAACTGCATCCATGGATCCAGTCTCGGGAAGACTAAGACGTTCCGGAAACGATGGAAGCCGGTTCATGCAATCGCGTAACCTTGTTTTTCGAACTAATGCACCTCTCTAGACTTTATCTCGCATTACGGAGTATCTAGTACATCGACTCCGTAGGTACCACCATCTTGGGTCGTGGAAGATCCTGAATCCGTTGCTCAGATAGCATTCCCAAGGGAAAAAGGGGCAGAAAAAAACAATTGGGGCCATTAAGGTTGACTATGTGAGAGAATGGAGCACTTGATGGAGCAGATGGAGTCGATGGAGTCGATGGAGACTGAAATGGAGACTCTTGTTTTTCTCCCGTTTCTAGCGCCATTCTAGTTGTAATTGAAACGGCTTCTTTCCGTACGATAACAGCCCAGTTCCACTATAGGAAGCTCGTTTCCCTTGTGTGTAGGCTTTTTTTTAAACATTATTTCTGGATCGGGATACGTAAATATTAATACATAATAGGATATGCCTTTGTCTGTGACTTCTTTTTTTTAAAGAGTTAGTCTACAGGGGATGATCACCAATATGGGAGAAGTACGGAGTAGTCCCTTATTTTCAGCATGTGAAAATGTATATCTAGGATGGAATCTGAAAGGAAGGCGTGAGAGAATGTCTTGTTTCAATAATGAGAATAGTGTAACAGAGCACGCCACAGTGCTAGGATGTAGAGGTGAGATCGATCTAGCATAGTCACGTTGGGAACTTTGAATCTCTTAACGGTAGGCTGCAATCTACCTATGTACGGTAGATCGTCCAGCCCCCGATTTCCACGAGGGAGACCCAGATTCAGTGCCGACGGGAGACGAATTTCCTCCTTTTGGCATGGGGTGGACACGGGGCTGAAACATGCCTACGAGTCCCTTTTACAAGCTGGGAAGCTCGTAATGTGAACCCTGTCACAAATGGGGTTACTATACCGCAGAGGGTAATGGCCATTTAATGGTGAAATGTGTCGGGTCCAGTGTGGCAAAAATATGGAAGCTGACGCAGATACCCTGTATTACCTCCAGGGCTTCGAGACAGAGTCCGGATTATGGGGGTGGGGCTTTCAGAATGTTTCCAGATGTTATGTACGGAGTACTGTACAACACCGGGCACCAAGGTTCTTTATTGTTACCTTTACCCAGCTTCCCGGGAAAGAAAGGAAAGGCTAGAAGGCGAAAAGAATGTTCACACGTAACCGAGACGGGATTTCACTTTTTTCGATCATTACGGAGCTCTCCTTTTGTTTAGCGTATCTCCACCCCCTATGATGGAGCCCAGGATCGTAAAGATAATCCTCTTTTTTTCCCTCTTGATCGGCACGTAGAGAATCATCAGACAAAGCCGACGAGAATAAGTCAAAATTGCGATATGTTGAATTTGCTTCTGATGTGTCTTGTGTCTTGTAAATTGTAGGCGAATTGACGGGGATTGATTCAAAGACTTCCGAGACCAGATCCGAAGTTTGCGACTGGTCTTAATAGGTGTGAGTATTGCACGGGAGACCGCGTGAAAGACCGGATGGCCTTAATTAATAGCCGAAATACCTTGGAGTTTGGGTTGGCTAGGGGATTATTTACCTAGGCATCATATGTCATAATCCCTTTAGCTATTAGGGTTGTGAGTTTCTTGCTTCTTTCTTGGGTCTAATATTATTGTAGGAAACTAGCAAACCCGATGGAGCCCGACCACGCGAGAAAATAAATAAATAAAAATCAAATATTCGGAGGGATCCGTTTCTCGTTCCTGCGGCTGTTTTTCCCTTTTTCTTTCTCCACTCATGCACAAAGGCTGCCCGGAGATTTGGTTCCTAGCTTTATAGTGGAGAGCTTCTACGGCTAGTTGATACATAACAGCGGAGAGTTTTGGACTTTTGGACCTGACAGTAGTGAAGACATGAGTGAGATGTATCTTAGACGTAGTTGTGATGAATCAGAGGGTACCTTTTTTTTAATAAATATTACTTTATTCAAATACATACTTTGGCTAAAACCGACTAAATAGGTAAGCCTATAGATTAGAAACGTTGGAGAAGAAAGGGGGGACATTTCCGTTCCTGTTCCCCGGGACCAGGGGACGGGAGAGCCGCTGTACTAAACAAAGGAAATATAGAAAATATAGAAAATATAAGATTTTGTTTTTATTTTTTAATTGATTTTTATATATTTTCTGTATATTTGATTTTCAATTTGATTTTCAAGTCTGGTTTTATTGATTTTCTAATAAAAAGGATAAATTTAAATTTAAAATATCCCTAAGGAAAAAAAACCCGTAGACCGTCTATATCAACGCAAATCCCCCCTTCTTGGTATTTCCTTTGAACATACTTGATAACCATCTTTCTACACATCCACCCCCTACCGCCCTCCTTTCCTCTCCCTTCTCCCTTGCGATACGTCGATTTGAACTTTGTCCGGATCGATCGGAGCCAGTTCCGGAGCACTTTCTCCTTTGCTCCCTTGCCGTCTTAAACCTCATATCCCTTCTGCCCGTTTACTTGGTTCGGATCGCGATTTTTATGGATTCGCTGCAGCCACCCTCGCGCATATCATTTTGAGAATTGTCGATTTTTATTTGATTTATTTCTCGATCTACCCACTCATAAAAAGCAACGAGCTGCGACCTGTCCACCATTGCTTTTCCCCAAAGAGACTCCATTCTCATTTGTTGGGCCCATTTCGTCACATTCCTGCCCTACGATTCTGTTGGATCCCGCATTGTCCCAGTGGTGTTTCTACAAAAGGACCGCCTTTTCCGATCCCGACTGCATTTGCATCTATCGCCTGCACCGCCGGTTTTTGTCTAGACCTTCTTTCATTTTTTTAATTTGATTTTTCACTGGGGGGTTGGATTGGGATTTCGTTTGTCTAGCTTGTTTCCCCCAAGGGAAACATTTATATAAGATCCTGGCGTCGACGTCGTGTTTACTTGGTAAGTCTCCTACTATCTCATCTCATTCCTCACCCTGCCATTGGCGCATTCACAAAGCCCTCGCTTGTTTCTATCGACAAAATCCTACTTTCCAGCATCTAACCATGACTTCCTCCGCAGACCTTAACATGATCCTTCGGGACCAATCTGCTTTCAACATGGGAAGAGGAGCTTACGACACAACTGGGGTGAAGAAGCCCGGCGTTCCTCCACCGCCGCCGAAATAAATTCATTCGGAAACAACCTCATCATACTCAACATTGCTTTCTACACCACTCGGTCATGTTTCGTATGGTCTGGCGCCCAACAGAGGCTGGAGTTATTTTTTTTGACGCATATGCGTTTTGGAGTTTTACCTGATTTTGGTAAGACACGCCAGCTCCGAGCACACCTTTGAGCATCAAAACTAACCGAATTATTAGATATCTGTAACACTATCTTTTTTTTGTCCCGGTCACGGGCAATACGTTTTTCTTGCCTATTCGCTACAGGCATCGCGCGACATTATACCCTTTTTAATTTGGCTCGACTTTCTGCCTTCAGCATTTTCTTTTCGGATACCAAGCGTTGACAACATTTTTTTCTTCCTTTTCGACCTTTGATCTTTCGTCTTCGCACATGCGCCTTATCCTTATTTTTTCGGGCCTCAAACCATATTCCGCCTTACCTCACGTTCTACTTCACCTCTGATACGACTCGATACCACGGTCCCCATCTCTCTCAAAAAGTGCCTTTGTGTTTATTGTTATTTCTTTTGTCTTTGTTTCTCGTTATCTACCGGCGTTTTGGTATAGACGGGACGGAATATTGATTGGGATGGGCTGATACCAAAATCTAGAGCCTCGACCTCACGGTCAATAGCATGCTTTGATTGCTTTTCTTGTTTTACTATTGGATGGGTACTGCTCCCGGGTTTATTTGTATGAGTATTTGTACTTTTCATTTTGACGTTGATGCCTGTGTATTATATTTTGCGCACAAAAACCATAATTGTCAGCGCCAATGAATTTTTTTTCTCTACATTCTCCATCCAGCTAGTCTAGACCACTATCGACGGCTTCACGTACATTTGTAGATACGTTCTGTAACCCCGAGTTTGCAAACTCGTACCCCTCTCAGGTCGTACTCCGCTTGTACCTGACTGACCGCGGTTGCGCTAGCATCGGGCAGATTTGCTTGCCGACTAATGCCGAGACAGGAACAACAGCCCGATTGTTGATACGGACCTGGCTGGTGCATCGGCAGATATCTCCCGAGGCTGACCAGTGTCCTTCCTAACTGGAGCCCGACATCATCTCGCAGGCCAGTTGGGCAATAGCCCAATCTGCGACAGTTGTCAAGGTGCCAGGAACATATTTGTCTCGCGGTAGCCTACCTTTTATCAAGTCATAGTACGTGTATTTATGTTCATTCTTTCCAAATCTTCATATCCCGACAGCTATGTCTATGTTATCTGCATGCCATCGGTGCAGTGTATCCAATGATGTGACATGATCCTTGAACGTCGAATTTAGCTCTTATGTCAGTCTCTTTAAATAGATATAAGAGCTAAATGAAGCCCCAATAGAAGTACGAGCAATGCAAATGCAAATATGCTAAGTATGTCAGTTGTATACTTCAACCTTAGACGGGCTTCCCGTGACTGGTGACTGACGACCGCGCTAAGCCCAATCTAGGCACCCGTCATCATCCACCTCCGCCTCTCTCCAACTTCAGGATCAATCACTCTTGTCTCGGTAACGATTATACTACGCTTCGAATCCCTTATTCCTCAACAAGGATTGAATTAATTTACCAATACGAGCGCAAGAGCAGCGACTCGTGTCCAGCTCCTGTCTTACTTCTAGGCAGCCCCATTCCCCGAACTGTGGTTACCAGCTGAATCAACCTGCCACCTCATCCGGTCGCCTGATCGCTGATCGATCGAAAGTGAATAACCTACAGAAGGCCTGACTGTGGTTACTTTGATCTCACTGTTGTTTCGTTGTCTCAGCCATGTCCGAATCAGCGAGCGCAAATGCCCCGAAGCCGAGCAGCAGCGTCAAGCTTGTGCTGCTCGGAGAGGCCGCAGTGGGCAAGGTACTACTCCTCCCTTCGCCATGTTACACGATTATCAACAGCTAACCACATTTTATTACTCGCTCATAGTCATCGCTTGTCCTCCGCTTCGTCAACAATGATTTCCAGGAGAATAAGGAACCAACCATTGGCGGTAAGATTTCCCCATGAACTTAGCCCCCACAACATACGAGGTACTGTCCCTGGCAGATTATATACTTTCTGGAGAATCCAGGGGCAGTGTATCGTGTCTAAAATCGAGTTGTTCCCCGGCAAACGGGCCAACCTAACCCCTCAAATAATACTTTGCGCTAGGATGAACCAACTAACGTCATCTTTCCAGCCGCATTTTTGACGCAAAAATGCTCCCTTCCTACGCGCACGATCAAGTTCGAGATCTGGGATACCGCCGGCCAAGAGCGATTCGCTTCGCTCGCCCCGATGTACTACCGCAACGCGCAAGCGGCGCTTGTTGTCTACGACGTTACGAAACCCTCTTCGCTGACAAAAGCCAAGCACTGGGTTGCCGAGCTGCAGCGCCAAGCGAGCCCTGGAATTGTCATTGCCCTCGTCGGTAACAAGCTGGACTTGACCAATGACGGAGGAGATGTTTCCGAGCCCACTGGCGCTTCACAGAGTGAGTCTGAGTCGGCCCAGGATGGCGATGAAGGCGCCGGTGAGGAAGATGGGGTGCAGGATGCCGTTTCCGGCGATGCCCGCAAAGTATCGACACGGGAGGCTACCGGCTATGCGGAGGAGGAAGGTCTTTTGTTCTTCGAGACTAGCGCCAAGACAGGAACCAATGTTGTGGATGTCTTCACGGCAATTGCCAATGCCATCCCCGAGAGCAGTTTGAAGACTGGTCGCGGTACCGGTGCAGGAACTGGCCAGACTTCGTTGGGTAATAGGTCAACAGAAGACGCACGGGTCAACCTGGGTGATCGAAACGCTGCTACGGCTAAGGAGGGCTGCGCTTGCTGATTTGGGTCTTTTTTTTGGCAAATGTTCTTGCAATTATTTCCATGGATACAGGCGTCCCTCTTGCTTTTTTTTTTCATTTCTTGCTTGTTCCGGCTCCAATGGAGACTCCGTGTGCTCTTATAGTCCACAGTGTGCTATTCCCCGTGAGACAACTCGTTTCAACAATGTGATTAGAGTGTAAATTTTTTGAAATTGAGAGCAATCAGAATCATCTCCAGCGTATATAACAGGGAAGAGTAGAACAATATGGCCAGAAAGAGGTCCCGGGGTAGTTGCGAACCAAAGGCGAGTCGTATAGTGGATCTCCTTCAGCGGCAATTCACCAATCAGCAACGAGCCCTAAGACGGCCACGCTAAACCCAAACAGGAAATAGCGCACCCTAAGCGAATGCGCCGATCCCACAGCAAATTCCCATTCGATTCAATCTGCGAACCTCCCCTCCGTCGACATCACCACCAGCACTTCCCGCAGCACCCCGTCGCTCGCAATAATGGCTGCCATCAACAAGATCGCCCCCAACTCGCCGTCCCGGCAGAACCCCTCCGAGCTGGAGACCGCGATCGCCGGCGCTCTCTTCGACCTCGAGAGCAACACACAGGACCTGAAGGCCAGCCTTCGTCCCCTGCAGTTCGTCTCTGCCCGCGAGGTAAGGATTGTTGTCCGAGGCTCCCGACATGCGAATTGAATCGTTCTGGAATGGCGTCTGTGAATTTTCGAGGGATTTTCGATGCTCCGGGGTATATTGGTTGGATTTGTGGATTGATTTCAATTCATATCCACCAACGCCAAAATCATCAACATGGAGAGGAATAATCAGCAAAGGAGGCAACATGCAAATGGATATGAAAATTCGCAGAGCAAGACGCCGTTCCAGGAGGAATTCTGTTTCTGTGTGCACACGACACTTTCAACCGGACAACGCTCTGACATTATTCTGCTATCTAGGTTGAGGTCGGCCACGGCAAGAAGGCCATCATTGTCTTCGTCCCCGTCCCCCTCCTGACCAACTTCCACAAGATCCAGCAGCGGTAAGCAACCACCAGCCCTTCCAACACCAATGGGCCTACCAAAAAAGACCCCCATCAAAAACAAAGAACAACCCGAAACTAACACCCAACCCCAGTCTCACCCGCGAGCTCGAGAAGAAGTTCTCCGACCGCCACGTTCTCTTCGTGGCCCAGCGCCGCATCCTGCCCCGCCCCAAGCGCTCCGCCAACTCGCGCACCACCCAGACCCAGAAGCGCCCCCGCTCGCGCACTCTGACCGCTGTCCACGACTCCATCCTCTCCGACCTCGTCTACCCCGTCGAGATTGTCGGCAAGCGCACCCGCACCAAGGAGGACGGCTCCAAGACCCTCAAGGTCATCCTCGACGAGAAGGAGCGTGGTGGTGTCGACCACCGCCTCGATGCCTACGGCGAGGTCTACCGCCGCCTCACCGGCCGCTCCGTTGCCTTCGAGTTCCCCCAGAGCGGCGCTGAGCTCTAAATGCATATTTAGAATTCTTTGTTCACTTTGAATTTTTTTTGGGGCTAGGGGCTTGGAATGTGCTCGGTTGATGCGTGGGAGAATGGCATTGTTTCTAGTTTTGAATTGTTGCTAGATTCAACGCCATTGATGGGTTCCAAAGAGATGATCTCCATAAAAATGCATTGACGGTTTTTTCTCTTTTCTTTTTTTGCCCCCAGTCACTGGTTGCATTGGTTTTTGTGTCCGGTGTGAGCTCTGGGTGAGGCGATGGAGTTGAGTTCTCTCTCTATCTCCCGATCTAATGAGGGTGGGATGGAATATCAGATAGTATTCCAATTCAACAATTCCGACTTTTCATTACTTTTCCTTTAGATGGTTTTGTCTGGATGGGATTGGGATCTAGCCTGCTTGTAGATTATAAGATTGACTGCCCATGGACACCCAGATATACTTGTTGAATATATCTCCATGGTCAAGTCAGGTTGCTCATATTCTGTTGTTATGTTTACTTGGCAGGATCAAATTGGAAGCTCACTGGACAATAATATGTAGATGCTTCTATGAACGGGAAAAAATACAAGTACACCCGGGGTATGAAAGGCATAAAACGCAAACCAGTCGACACGACTATGAACAAGACGATGGCAACCCCCTATTTGTCTACAACGAAGCCTGAATCCTGCCCACACCAAGGACCATCCAATAAGCCAACTCCCTGGTAACCTTATCATCAGGCTTAGATCCCTTTCCAACATTCTGCTGATCAAGCTGCGCATCCGCATCCCAGTCCATATGCACGAAGACCGGAATCTCAAGCACATCCTCATCCTGCCTGGAAGCCGCAACCGCCAAAACATCCTCATCATTAGTCTCGGTATTGGGGTTGCCATCACCGCCTTCAGCACTACTCCCAGGCAACGTACCAGGGACAACCTCCAACACCACGGTCGTCCAGTTCCGGCCCTTATCCCACACCTTGCCTGCCTCTGGGACTCCACGTTGAACGGCGGAGCGAGAGTCACTCGCTAAGGGGGGCAGAGGCACCCTGCAACGCCTCGTCCCAGACATCGCTGTTCGCGCCAATCTCGAACTGCGGAGAGAGAACTGTGACTTTCGTTGCAACGTGGCCAGGGGTTACGGGGGGCGTGGCGAGGGTGATGCGGACGGGGTCAAACATGTGGTTTTTTAGAGTAAGAAGGACGTGGATTGGGCGTAGGGGTGGGAGGGAGTTGAGGTCAGAGGTTGGGGCCATGGCTGGGAGGGCTGACGAGGAAGAGGGGGCTAGAGGGCGGAGGGTTGGGAGGGGGATGTAGCTGAGAGCAATAAGGCGGATGCGGAAGCGAGTAGATTGCGGCTTGCTCTCGGGCTTCACGAGGATGTGCTTGCAGGACTTGCAGCGCTTGGCTCGCTTAGTTCGGAGGAGGACTGGGAGTGGGAGAAGATCGTCGACGAAGCGGGCGTCCGGTGATTGGGTTGCGCGCTGGTCTATCGAGGCCATACCATCCCAGCCACATTCTGGAGAATGAAGTCGGGCAATCATGTCCGTCTCGTTGTTATCTGAGGCGACCTGAAGACCCTCGCTTGCAGTCAGGGCTTCGCGCATAACAGGTGGCTTGGACTTGGGCTTCTTGTTGCCGCCATACAGTCCGCTTAGACGGGACGAGGATGTGTAGAGTGACATGAGCCGGTTGAGGGCGCCGGGCGAAGAGAACCCAAATTCTGAGCTAAGATGATCATTTGGCGAGTTTGATGTCTCAGCGAGCTGTGTGCGGTAAAAGTTCTTCAGAGCTGCGAACCGGGCATCTGTGCCCATTGGAGGTGCAGCCGGGTCTTCTTTTGGTGTAGCTTGCTCTCCATCACGCTCACGCTCACGCGCATTGGATTTCTCATCAACCGAGGCGTAGCTGGACAACGGATGTTTCAGATCTCCAAAAGTGCGAGAAGCTTGCCTCGAGCGGTCGAGAGCAGCCGGGGCAGTGGAATCTGTCATCTTTTGCAGTTGACTGCGAATATTTGTCGGCTTGTCGAATTTGATGCCGATGTCTAGCGTCGTCCAAAGACAGTACCCGCAAGACAACACCCACGGACCCTGTTGGGGCACGTTTCCTGTAGCATTCTCAATGGTACTCACAGCCAGCGGACCCGTGCAGACAGGACAATTAAAGCAATTTCGGCCACATCTATATATGCGCGTGTTAGCGGATAGTCAAACACAACCCTTCACACCCTCTAGTACATACCGATTACCATCACTCCGCACCATGCTGCTCGGCGTTTCAAACAAGCAGCTAGGACAGTACCAGCTCACAATCTCTTCCGTAATACACCGGGGGCATTTGATCTGATGGCACTCTTCGCAGTAGAGAAGCTGTTCAGGCGGATACAGCGAGAAATTGGACCGTGGAGATCGGGGATCAAATGTTTGCTCTTCATCCTCGTCCTCTCCTTGTTGTTCTTCTTTTGCTGACAATTTCTTGTCTTGGTCTGTGCTTGCTTGCTCGGGTGGTGGCTTCTGCGGCGATTTCTGCGGGGACTCCCTCGACCTCCGCTTCCTGGCTGGATCGGGGACCGGGGTGTCGGCACAGGGGCATGATATGTAGGTGTACGGGAAAGGACGCGACATTTTGATATTGATGTGGAGGAGCGAGCGAGATTGTGTGTTGTAGCTTTCGAGGTGTATACTTGGATCAAATCATGCTTTGTCTCCGTGGGGGTTAAGAGCTGAATATCGTGGTGGAGGAAACAGGTTGACTGGTAGCAAATTCGTAGCTATCAGATAGCTTGTCTTTTCGAGTAAAAATATCTTAATTTTCAGGATCCCAACCTTGTTGCGCCGAATCGGAGACCCTGAGAGGAGCGTGTTGGCGCGCGAGGACGTACTCGAGCAGTGGTGCCAATGGCTCTGTCACGGCCAATGCACTATGCAAAATATATGCGATATAGAAACTAGAAGTGATACCAGGTCAAATGTCTTGAAAACACCAATTTCAGGAAGTCCAAGGTCCACGTTCTGCGGAGAGGGAGCTCTTCCGCATCAACAATCGACGTCAGATCCCGCCATTTTCTGCCCGCTATCGCCGCAAAACCATGGACTTGCATGTTTGAGGGTTTAGAATCCTCCATATCAATTCTACAGCCACAATGATACCTCTACAGACATTTCGTGCCAGCCTCTCAAGGCGATGCTTTGCCTCAACAACTACTGTTCGAAAATATGCCAGCCAGACGCCCGGCAACCCAACACTTGAGGTCTTCAACCGCAAAGTCAAGCACCTCCAAAAAGATCGGGCAGCCCGGAATGTCGAAGAGAGTCGGAAAGTCGACTACCTGAAAGATGAAGTGGCAATGCGGTTATGTGAGCGCTTACTGGTAAGCCACTCAACGAAACAAGCGCAGAAAAAGGCGCTGAAGTAGAGGAAAGACACATCAACTGACAAGAACTTCTTTCGCCATGAATAGGACATTAAACGCGACTTCCCAAACGTTCTAGATCTAGGCGCAAACAGCTGCAACATCGCCCGAGCTCTCACGTCCCCCAATGTCGACTCGGTCATGCCGGAAGGAACCATCACACCACCACTATCAAAAAAGATCTCGAAGCTGACATGCGTGGATACATCGCGCGCGCTACTCCACCGCGACGAGAACGAACTGTTTAACAAAGAGATTGACATCCAGCGGGATGTGATTCCGGACCTGGAGACGTTGCCGTACGCACCGAATAGCTTCGACGCCGTGCTCTCATCGCTCTCGATCCATTGGATCAACGACCTGCCCGCGCTGCTGGAACAGGTCAACACGATACTGAAGCCCGATGCACCGTTTATCGCAGCTATGTTTGGTGGTGATACGTTGTACGAGCTGCGCGGGTCGTTGCAACTGGCTGATATGGAGCGACGTGGTGGTGTGAGTCCGCATGTGTCGCCTCTGGCGGATGTCAAGGATGTTGGGAGCTTGTTGGGCCGTACTGGGTTCAAGATGCTTACTGTTGATGTTGAGGATATTGTGGTCGAGTTCCCGGATACATTTGCGCTCATGCAGGATTTGCAGGCGATGGGCGAGGGTAACGCAATCATGAACCGTGACTCGGCACCGCTTTCGCGGGATGTCTTGCTGGCTAATGAGGCTATATATCGTTCCCTGCATATGGAGGAAGGTGCGCGTGGTATCCCAGCAACGTTCCGGTTGATCTTTATGATTGGATGGAAGGAAGGCGCGGGCCAGTCGAAGCCGTTGCAGCGTGGCAGCGGCGATGTTAACCTCAAGGACATCCTTGAGGGAGGTGACTTTGATAGACCATGAAGAATGGAGACAAAAGGGCAAAGAGAAAAAGCCCAACATTTTGTCACAATATACTAATGTAAAACTACGCTTAAAGCGACACTGAAGAGATATCATCCACAGAGATGTATGGAATGCAAGCCTCTACCAAAAAGACGAGAACAAAAAAAACAGTCAAATGTAAATCATAAGAAACGAACCTCCATCCGATGCTGTTTTCTCCGCTCAAACCGTCCTGCGATCAGTCATGACCCGCACAATCGACCCAGTACCAGCAATCTCCACAAGTCTCTCGTGCCAGCTCAGCAAAACGCTCATCTGCTGACCACCACCACCTTCACCCAAGTTGCGAGCCTGGATCTGCGAGAAGCCCGTATCCTGAGGCGAAACCGGCTTCTTTGGCGACTGGGCACCGCTACCGGGAGCAGCCGAGGACATTCCCTTGTACCTGTAATCAATAAATCAGCAATCAAATCCACGACTCTCCATCAGACGTTTCGTCTCCTGGCAATCGAAACAGTAGTTGCACGTACAGGTATTTCATCAAGCAATCCGCCCGCTCAGCCCCGCCATCCCCGCTGCACACGCCCTCCAGGATGCGGGTCATCTCGCCCTGCCGGATACCCTGAAGCACATCGATGACGGTAGCAAGATGCACCTCCTTGGCGCGGTCGTCGCCGCCCAGCGGCGCCGTGTCTAGGACAGTCCGCAGAGCGCCCTCCGGGTCACCGCCGCGC